CCTTACATATTTTTCTAATTTTTAAATGAAAATATAATTTGTATGTTTTCTCTCCTTTCATGGAGGACAAAGTACCTGGTCAGTTGACCCTGGGCATTTTTTCTGGCCAGGTTCTGCTGGCACCCAGTGGGTGAAGACGAGGGATGCTGCTAATTGCCCTCTGTAGATCAGGCCCTGCAGCAGAGAGCTTCTCAGCCACCGATACCAATCAGGCCAAAGTGGAGAAGCCCTGCTCTAAAATAGCCACCTTTAAATTGACCATATTTCCAAGACAGTGGCCGTCCAGAGGACTGACTGTTGGTGCTTGATGAAGGTCTGTGAGTAGCTCTGGCCTGGAACCAACAAGAGACACCGCCTGCCTTTCATCTGCTCACCATCCGACTCCACCTAGGGAACGCTGAGATGAAGCTGCTTTGCAGCCTAGAAGTCAGAAGAGGTAGAACTAGAAGAAGCCTGAGCCTAGAGGCGGGTCTCAAAAAATCCTGAGTTTAAGCTGGATACCAGTGGCTCACACATGTAGTCCTAGCTACTCAGGAGGCAGAGATCAGGAGGATTGTGTTTCAAAACCAGCCCAGACATATAGTTCTCGAGACCCTATCTTGAAAATACCATCACAAAAAAGGGCTGGTAGAGTAGCTCAAGGTATAGGCCCTGAATTCAAACCCCAGTACCACAAAAGAAAAAAGAAAGTGTTTTTATTGCTTGTCCACAACTCACGGACCTGAATCTCTAGTCCTTTTCTTCCTATATTCCTGGCCATTTCCCTTTTTGTATTTATATGCTTTCTCACCCCTCCCTAAGTATATTACTTGCTACTTGTTTTATTCATATTGGCCTTGTTTATTTTGTTTTATTAATATTGTTTTCCAGCTTGTTTTGCATTATTGGCTTATTTACTATACATACTTCTGAATCTTTCATCCCTATAGTGATAATTTTGTCCAGAATTGACCACTCTAGATTAGTCTTCAACCACCACCTTAAAGTCCAGGAAAATTCCTTATAAGGTCAACAGTGAGCCATTGATACTTTGAACTTGATTCTCTTAGAGGTTTTACACACTCTTTAATGGTTGAATGATACAACAGTGGTGTCTGATGGAACTTTCCATGGTAATGGGAAAGTATTTGTGTGGTCCAGTATGGTAGCCACTAGCCAGTTGTGGCTGCTGAGCACTTGAAATGTGGCTTGTGTGATGGAGGAGCTGAATTTTTTATTTGAATTAAATTAAAATTTAAATAGCCTCATGTGACTAGGGGCTACTTATTGGACAGCACAGATCATTCTTACTGCTATCCAAAATGTGGTTGCCAGGCCAGGTGTGGTGACTCACCTCTGTAATCCCAGCTACTCAGGAGGTAGAGATCAGGATTTGATCATGGTTTTGAGGTTTGATCATGGTTTGAGGCTAGTCTGGGCAAAAAGTTCATGAGACCCCTATATCAACAAAAAGTCTGAGTGTGGTGGCTTGTGTCTGTCATCACAGCTACCCAGAAGGCATACATAAGAACATCACAGTCCAGGCCAGCTCCTGAACAAAACCATGAGATCCAATCTTAAAAATAAGCAAAACAAAAAGGGCTAGGGGCATGACTCAACTGGGAGAGTGACTGCCTACCAATTGGCGAGGCCCTGGGTTCAAACCTCAGTACACGAAAAACAAAGTCAAAACAAAAACCTTAAAAAACAAATTGTGGCTCCCAGACCAGCAGCATTGCCATCACTTGAGGGCTTGTTAGAAACACAGAAGCTGGGCCAGACTTCTTCAGAATTAGAGCTACATTGTAGCAAGATTCCCAGGGGATTCCTATGTACACTGAGTCACATGGGGAGTTTAAAAAAAATATTGTCACTTGGGTCCACCCTCAATGATTCAGATTTGGTTGATATTGGTATTAGGTATGGTCTGAACATTGTTTTTTTGGTTGATTGGTTTTTTTTTGCTTTTTGGTGGCAGTGAAGTTGTTTGAACTCGGGTTCAAACACTTGGTAGGCAGATATTCTACCACTGGAGACACTCTGCCAGCCCTGTTTTGTGTTGAGCATTTTCGAGATGGGGTCTTGCAAATTGTTTGCCCAGGCTGACTTCAAACTGCAATCCTCTTGATCTCTGCCTCCTGAATAGCTAGAATTCTAGGCATGATTCTATAATTAAAAAAAAAACAAAACATTTCCCAAGTGATTTCTAAATGTGCAGCAAAGACTAGTGTTGCTTAAACCTTGTGGGTATCTGAATCACCTGGGAAGCTGGTAACAAGTAGCCTGGGCCTCTGTAGTCTTTATTACTCCAGAGATTCTGGTGCATGTATTTTGTGTTTGAAAATCCCGTTCTAGAAGATAGTTTTGCACTTTGTTGGTGATTGTCATGCAAACTAGAATGAAAAGTGTTACTAACCTTGTAAAGAAAATCGACCTGGCTGGTGGAGTAACTCAAGTAGTAAGAGTGTCTGCCTATTTAGTAAGCATGAGGGCCTGAATTCAAACCCTAGAGTCGCGCCCCCACCCCCAAAAAAAAGAGAATCAACCTGCATTTGCATCCAAGATATATATGCCTGTGTATATCTAAATGAATGCTTTTGTAAACATTTGTTTTTCACAAAATGGGCCACTCTTGGTGTTTGCACAGTGTTTCCTGCTTGCAATTGTTTGAATTTTTGGTCTCTTAAATAAGATTTTTCTCCCCCTTTTGATCGATTGGCATGTCATTAACATTTTGGATTTCAGAATTGCTAAGAAGTCTGCTAACAGCAGCTGGTAGCTTCATGGTCAATTTGCCAGTTCCTTAAGGTGCAAGTTGGAAAGCCTCAAGATCAGAATGTTCTGTAACAGAGACGTGTGTGAGGCACAGAGACGCCCTGACTGCAGCTCTCTAGCACCTCCCTGAGACAGTCATGTGTGGTGTGTCAGCTGAGGGAGCCTGGCACAGAGGGAGGCCGTCAAGATGTCTGGTACTTCCAGATCCTTGCTCATTCCACACTGTAGGCTCCTGGGTCAGGAGTGTTGCATTCAGCACTGTTCTATCTTAGGAGCTGGGGAAGGGAATGGATAACTAGATGACTTTTTTTCTTTTTTAAAAAAACTGCTGGTAAGGACAGCATGGGCTATAGAGAGGTACCCTGTCTTCAATAAAAACAAAAAAGTGCTATTAAGTTTTGTTGTTTTTTCAAAGTACTGGGGAGCAAACCCAAGACCTTGTGCATTTGTCCACCAGCTAAACTACATTCTCACCCTCAGCCTTTTAAGTTTTACATCAGCTAAAACCTTTTGGTTTTGTGGTATAGAGAACATTTGGTCGGCCATTGCAAAAACAGCCTTTGCTAGGACTTGAGTTTATTAACTGTTTGTTTCTGGAAGATGGCCTAAAAATTGATGGCTTGGAAAGCATGTTAGGAACACACTCAATTTCTTTATGAAATTTTTTATTAAAAATGTGCTGCAGTGTTATCTTCCTTGTCTGCCAAATTTAGTTGTGTAAGTAGAAGTAAATGAACATTATTTTAACCTGCGAAGATTTCAAGACTCAAATAGCAGGTCAGCAGCTTTTGCTACTGCTGCTCCTGCCCAGATAATGGAAGGCCTGAAATCAAAAGCAATCAAATATGATGTGGGAACCGGCCATACCTGTAATCTTAGCTACTTGTGAGGCTGAGATCGGGAGGATCATGGCTCAAGGACAGCCCAGGCAAATAGTTTTTGAGACTCCATCTCCAAAATAACCTGAGCAAAATGGACTGGAGAGGTAGCTCAAGTGGTAGAGTGCCCGCTTTGCAAGCACAAAGCCCTGAGTTCAAATACCAGTACCATGGGGGAAAAATGGGGTGGGAAAGCTGTAATGAAATTGTGTCTTCAGAGAGATTATTTTACGTGATCTCTCTAGCAGCATCACATATTTAAAAAATGAGCTGAATTAGCCCAGAAAAGAAGACCCTAACCACTAGAAAGACAGGTTTGCCATGTGTTTTCTTAAGTGGAGGTTTTCCTGACAGGAAGGCTGTGTCCTGAGAGGGCCTGTGGAAGAAGCTTGATAAGCAGGGCCTTCCTGCACTAGTGCTTTCTGGGGAACTTCAGAGGCCCTTGGACAAATAGGGGCTCTCCCAAAAATGTAATTTCAGGTCACCCTGATGTCATGCTCAGAGGCGAACCTTCAATAATCACTTTCCCTTAGTACAGGAACTGGAGCTTCTGTGGATCCATGTGAAAAAGTTTCCAAGAACCCACAGATTACAGTGCTTTCTTGTGCTGTGAGTAATGTGAGTAGCTGGGCTTTTCTTGAGTTCGCCTCCACTGGTGATAATCAAGCCCTCCTCTTCCTAGCCATGGGGGCGGACTCCACTCAAAGCTTGCTTCTTCCTGGCAATAGAAGAGAACAGCAGCTCGCAGTGGGACTCAGGTGGCAGTGAGAAAGAAGGCGTCTCTAAGTATTTATAGCAGACCTAAGTAGTGCATCTAGACCAGGGTGGCTAGTGTGGAAAAAAAGCAGTTGAGCACTGAGTTCTAGGCAAAATTCAAAGGCCACAAGGCCCCCAAAGGCAAGGAGAAAGGAGGTTGGTACCACAGATCCATAGTGGCAAGTTGAATGAAAAATATATGGTTTGATCAAGAACCGTGAGACTGCTGGTGAAGTGGCTCACGTGGTAGAGTGCCTGCCTTGCAAGCATGAGACCCTGAGTTCATACCCCAGTACCACCAAAAAAAAAAAACCATGAAACTCTTACCCTCACGTCTTTGTAAAGTTGCTTCTTCCCAGCCTCAAGTTCTTTGCTTTATGACTATGCAAATGCTTAAGTACAAAACTCAGATAGGAGTGCACACAGAGCTGGTGATGGTTGGGTAGAATGTTAAGCCTTTGGGTGGGGGTTACCTTCAACAGGTGAGAGGTAAGGGGATTTTTCTTCCTTTGGAGATGGGGGACAATTAAAAAGGCATGGAATTTGGTGGGAATTTGGTGATTTTGGTATTAATATTCTATGACTTTGTTTTCCCATTGAATATGTACCTAGTGTGTGTCAGTTCCTGGAGCTTTGCCAAAGCCCAGAAGGTGGCTTTGGAGGGGGCCCTGGGCAGTACCCACACCTCGCACCCACCTATGCAGCTGTCAACGCATTATGCATCATTGGCACTGAGGAGGCCTACGAGGTCATTAACAGGTACGCCCCAGCCAGCAGTCATTAATAGGTACGCCCCAGCCAGCAGTAACGGAGACCCAGAAGGGCTGCCCAGCTGCTGCGCCACACTGACCACTGTCTGTGCTTCTCTCCCCACAATCCCTCAGAGAGAAGCTTCTTCAGTATTTGTACTCGCTGAAGCAACCTGACGGCTCTTTTCTCATGCATGTTGGAGGTGAGGTGGACGTGAGGTGAGTGGGGTTTTCCTCAGGCAGTTGCTCTGTGGTTTCTAGAGCTTATCTGTTGTTAGCAATGCCAGACCTAAGATGCAACATGGCAAAGCTGTTCCTGTGTCCCATAGAGATGTGCAGAATGACATGCCAATGACAGTGTCATGGTCATTGAACATATGGTACAGATGTCCTCAGGCATCGTGATCTTGTAACTTCTTTATTATAAATGTCAAAATGTAAGTAAGATAGAAACAAAATCAGCTGATTTCACGTTAAAAATACAAAACACACAACGTGATGCACCATAATGTGACTGTAGTGTGATATGTATCATGTGTTATGAATTGTATATTATTACTATATAGTAATACATTTCATCTCTCTTGGAGATGAAGGCCTGGTAGGAACTCAGTAAAGACTTTCTGATTGAACTTGATGAAATCCTGAGATGGCCTTCCGAGGCACTAGATTGTTTCCTCAGGAAGTGCAGAGATCCTCGTGAGCCAGCAGAGTGGAGTGAAGTTGCATGAACTGTTGGCTCAAACTTATTTTGCTAAAGAAGTGTGTCTGATATGCCTATCAACTAGCTTCCTCAATTGACAGTGGGAAATTGGGATTTTATACTATCTTTTATACTATCTTATTTACTCTGAGAAATACCTTTTGTGAGGTTCTATGTCAAAACTATCTTACTGACTGCTATTATTGCCTGAGTTTGCTTCTGTACAAGTTGATTCATGTTCTGGCTGAAGCATATGACTTAACCATTGGTTTCAAAGTATAGAGAAATGGCCTGGTGTGGTGGTACATTCCTGTAATCCTAGTTCTCGGGAGAATGAGTCAGGAGGGTCTAGAGTTTGAGGCCAGCTTAAGCATCATAGCGAAACCCCGTCTGAAATACATTTTATGCATGTACGGGAAAGCCATAATGAAATCTCTTACTGTATCCAATTGAATATATTTCAACAAAAAAGAAAAAAAAAGATACTTTTATTGCAACCTTAGGAATGAGGGTGAAAAATAAACAGCCTCAAATCTTTAAAAATAAAAAAAGAATAGGGAAAGGAAAAAAACCACAGAAGTTATTGAGCATAAAACACATTGCTGATAAAAATAGGTGACCAGACTACAAAGGCCTTTAGTAAAGGATTTTCTGCTATCTATAATTTGTCCATTCAAACCAAAAAATGAGAATAAGTATCTGTGTATACCACTGAAACCAATAGCCTATGGAAGTAAGACAGTATTATGTTGATTCGTCTTAAGGAAAAAGCTAAAAGATTTTTTTTTCCCCTCATGGGCACCGAATTTTCAATCCTATTCTGTAGCCATTTCACCTAAACATGTACTATCTTGCAACTTAGCTTTTGAAACTTTATTAAAGTGAGGCATGGTGATGCATACCTGTAATCCTAGCATTGGAGAGGACGAGGCTCTAGAATTCAAAGCCTGGGCTACATAACAAGTTCTTGTCTCAAACAAACAAAAAAAGCCTTATTGAGATTAGGCAAAAGCAAAGGGACCATAGCAAGATTCCTTTGGTATTTTATCCCATGCCTTTTTCAGATACCATTATTCTCTAACTTACTTGCTCCAGCATCAGTCTTTTTCTCTGTTCTTACTTACATCTGCTAGACAAATCAGGATGACTTCTTCAGTAAAATAGACTTGTGCCACTGGAGACATATTCTGCCTCTACCTCTCTTCTGGGAATGCCATGAAAAGCATGGAGTCCATGCTTTTCATTTGCACAGTGGATGAAAGATACGAATAATGAATAAGAGCTTGTAGACTGCATCCAGCCAGTTTCCTTGTCTTGCTGGTTTCCTGGATCCCAGTTGCATCAATTTTTGCTTGGTGCTTCTTTAATTGTCCTTTGGTAGCATCAGCCAATGTTCATGAGTGCTTGAGTGCATTTGACCTGGAGAGAAGCAGCACTGACCAGGAACAGTGTACTCCTATGTGGGCTTAGACTGAGGTGGTCTCTTGATGATCTTTCAGGTGTGTTACAACTCCTAATAGTTTCTGGCAAGAGCTTATTCTAGTGTTTACTGCTCCTGGGTACTGTAAAAAATCAAGTCACGGTTAAGGAAGGAGTCGTTATTTATTCTTGACCATCTGAATTAGATTATATAATCTGGACTATTCTGTGGGCATAGGGGAGAGACAGGGATTGGCATCAGCAAAAGTTTAGGTGACAGACCAGGATGTGTTCAAAAGATGAAAGGCCAAGTATTACTGAAGTGCAGGTAGCCTAGGGACAGAGGGAGCAGTGAAGCTGGAGGGACAGGCTGGCAACAGACTTAGGGGGAGGCCCTGAGCTCTCCTTTCAGAGTGTGGAGTTTATTCTGATGGGTTTTAAGTAGGAAGTATATGATCTGATTTGTATTTTGCTAGAAGTTCTCCAGTTGCAGCGAATGTGTTGTAGTGTTTTAGTGAAAGTCTTCTGATTTCAGGACAGGAAGGAGACAGACCAGACAGGATATTGATCCAGGTGGAAGATAATGACTTAATTTTGAGTGATGGCAGTGAGGATGGAGTGGAGCAGCCACTCAATGACTAAATACAGGGAGAAAGGAAGAAACTACCTGAAAAGGTTGTATCTTGTTCCCTCCCCACCTCATTGGGAGATCTAGGACTAGTGGCTTCAGCATCACTCCTCATTTCTTCCATTGATGTGAAGCACCTCCCTGCCTCATAGGTTACATCAGGCTTCAAAATCTCAGAAAACGCTCTGAGATTCCTCAAGGCCTGAAGGAAATCGATCGTATCTTCGAAGTTAGCTTGTGGTAAATGACAACATTTGGCACTGGCATGCTTGACTCGTGCCTGCTGATGTCACTGGTGTAGTTCAGTCCCTTTGGCCAGCAGGAGCTGGGCCAGCAACAGTGTCGGCAGGATAGCAATGCTTCTGCAGAGATTTCTGTGGGATACCTTAGTAAGTTTGTGTTATGTCTATACTGTGAATAAGATGGAGACTAACCCCTTCTTTTGCCTCCTTTTTATGTTTCTTAGAAGCCCTCAGGAAAGGATTTGAGAGCAGAATTAGAATGAGTTTTGTCTTCTCATGCTAGATATTTGAAAAGACAGTAGAGGGGAAGAAAAGGCAATCTGTGGACATGTTCCATAACAGAGGGAGACGCTGAAATAAAATGTGTCCTGAGAAGAAGTAGGCTGGATGAACAGAATGGCAAGAACTACCCCAAATCAAGTAGAATAATGAGTTTTTAAAAAATAGTGGCTGGGAATGTAACTCAGTGTTAGAGTGTCTACTCAGTGTTCTCAAGGCCCTGGGTTTGATCTGTAGCACCAAAACAACAGCAACAAAAAGTGTTCCTTCTTTTTCATTAAAAGGTTTGTTTCTGTTGCATACTGGTGAGGTGCTTGAAATCAGGGCTCTTTTCTCTCTCTAGAGGTTTAAGGACTACATCTATTCTTGTCCCCATTTTGTCTAAGCAACCAGTAGAGTTTGGTGGCCTGCTTTGGAATATGTCTGTTGCAGAAAATGAACAGTTAACCTTTCATACACTCAGGCCACATCCAGACGGAAATCGTAGGTCTGCAGCAGTGCTGACCTCTGAATGGATGAGCAGCACGTCAGAAGAACCTGAGTGACTCCAGAATAGAATGGTGGGAAACACTGTGGTCTTTGAAAGCAGAGCTGAGTCCACTGTTGACATGAATTGAGATGGCTGTTATTTCCTCTGATGTAGATTTGACCATGTGGAGGTAGGGAGAATAGAATGTCATGTTCTTTCACTGAAGCCATGCTGTGAGCAACTCTATCCAATAGAATGTCACACCTCTCAGTTGGAGACCCAGGAGGACTGACTGTGTGCCAGAAGTGAGGACAGGAGATGATTACAGCTTACTAGGGAATGCCAGCAGTCCACCCAAGAGTTCACTGAGCCTTGTTTAGGTGCTTATTTAAAGCATAACACATTCCCCTGTTTCTGTCTTTCCAGAAGTGCTTACTGTGCTGCCTCAGTAGCCTCCTTGACCAACATTCTCACTCCAGACCTCTTTGAGGGCACCGCTGAATGGATAGCCAGGTGAGAAAGGCCAGGGTTTCCTGGCCTCTTAGAGAGCAGGTGGTCAAGGTTATTTCAGAAAAATAAAATAAAAAAACACTGGAAAGAAATACAAAATTACAAGAGAAGTCTTAAGGTTATCTGAGCATGCATTTTAAAAATACTTAAAACTTTTTTTTTCCAGACTTTCATGAATGTTGTAATATAGTTTAGATTGGCAAAGGCCAAAAACTGGTAAAACTGTATGGTAGGCGTCTTGGTCGATTTAAGTAGTTAGGAGAGTAATTTGGCAAGTGCTCTTGCTTGTGACCCAATAATTCCACTCCTGCAGAAACTCTCCCCCACATGCACAAAAGAGAAGAGAAACAAGGACTTGTTTGTAAGAGCAAAAGTGCTGGGGATAGTGGTGCATGCCTGCAATCCCAGCCCTGGAGAGGCTGAGGCAGGAGGATCTTAAGTTTGAGGACAGGACAACCTGAGCTACATAAAGAGTTCCAGGCCTGCCTGAGATATATAGCAAGATAGCAAGATCCTGTCTTAATAATAATTTTAAAAAACAGGTCAGGAACAAATTGAGTGTTCTAAACATGAGATGGATAAGTTATGGTGTAGTCACATTGATTGAAAAATAATTCTGTATTGTTTATAGAAAGAATCATGAACATAGTAATATTAAAAACATTCATAAGGGCCTGGGCTATAGCTCAGTGGTAGAGCACTTACCTAGCATGCGCAAAGCCCTGGGTTTGCTCCCCAGCGCGCGCGCACACGCGCGCGCGCGTACGCGCACACACACGCACACATGCACACGCCTGTAATTCAGGTATTCAGGACGCTGAGGAGGGAAGATCACCACTTAGAAGCCAACCTGTGCTACACAGGGAGCCCGTCCTAAGTTGGAGATGGATGTTAGATACATGTCATTTGCTATACTTTCTTGGATACTTCAAGTACTTCATAGTTTAAAAAAAGCAAACAGGCCTGGGGTTATAGCTCAGAATTAAGAAATTTGTCTAGCATGCAAAGCCCTGAGTTTGATTCCCAGCACACAAAAAAAGAGAAGAAAAGAAAAAAGAAAAGAAAAGGTGTAGTAGATACATATGTACTGTTATTTTCATATATTTTTCTTTTTATCAAAGTAGGATTTATTACTATGTAAATATAACTTACAGTGAAACCAGATGAAAGATGATCATACTTATTTTTCTGTATAACTTTGATCTTCCTGGTTTAGTGTACATTGTCATGAATGTATTTATCAGGAATTCATTCCCAGATTCTCTGCCAGCACTGTAAATTATTCTCCAGTCAAGTCAAGTACCTCGCACAGTCTGTTTTTGTGTGTGTTTGTGTACATGTGTGCGTGTGTGTGTGTGTGTGTGTGTGTGTGTGTATTCTGGGTCACCCCTCCTGGAGCCCTCTGCCCTCCTGCTTCAGTCTGGACAGATTGCTCTCAGCTTGCTGGACAATGGGTATCTAGAAGCTTCCTTTTAGCACAAAATTCATGTCTCTACTTTGTTGAAGCTGGTATCCTTTGTTGTTATTTTGTTGTTGTTGTTCAGTTATTTTAATGAAGCACATACTTCAATGGATCCCCTAAAAAGGTACCTAGGAGGTATATTTTGAAGATCTTAAGTTGGACACAGTGCCTCACACCTATAATTATTGCCACTTGGGAAGTGGAGATCAGGAGGATTGTGATTTGAGGCCAGCCTCGGCAAATAGTGAGACCCCTTCTCAATGATCCCAGCTACTTGGAAGGCTAAGGGTAGGGGGATTGTGGCCTAAAGACTGTCCTAAAGACAAAAATACAAGACTTGACCTGAAAAGTAACTAAAGCAAAAAGGGCTGGGGCTTTGCTCATGTAACAGAGTGCCTGCTTAGCAAACCCAAGGCTTTCAGTTCAAACCTCAGTGCCACCAAAAACTATATCTATCTAGATAGATATATGTATATCATGTGTCTTTATTCACATACCTGCTTAGTAGTTTATTTTGTTAGAGATTTCTAAGTTAGAAATGTTATAAATTGTAGTCCTCCTGAATTTTGTGAGCATTTTTGCATTGCCTTGTAGCTGCCAGTGTCATCATCAATAAGGCAGGTAACCATAGTAACTGACATTTATTGAGAACTTCATAAGGTAGCTGTAGTAGTTTACAGATTGAGAGTAGGCAATCCTGGACTTGCTTCTTTTTTGTTGTTGTTTTTGTGGGACTGGAGTTTGAACTCGGGGCACTTGGAAATCAGGTGCTCTACTGTCTCAGTCCATTTTGCTGTGGTTATTTTGGAGATGGGGGCTCTTGAACTATTTGCCCAGGCTGACCTTGAACCAATATCCTCCTGACCTCAGCCACCCAAGTAGCTAGGGTTACAGGCGAGAGCCACTGGCAACTGATTAGAAAATATACCCTAAGTCTAAACCCCAATAATATTTATTATTATAATAATAAATGAATAATTTGAATATATAGGAAATTACTTTTTTTTTAATAAAATTATTTTTGAACAGTTCCAGTCTGGAAACAATGGCACACGCTGCCTGTGGGAGTCCCTACTTGGGAAGCTGAGGTGGGAGGACCAACTTGAGCCCATGAGTTAGAGACCTAGCTGGGGAACATAGTGAGACCCATCTCAAAAAAACAAAAACATATTTTTGCAGAGTTCTAAAGGCATATATGTTCATAATAGAAACTTTGAAAACAGAGTTGGGCATGTGGCTCAGTGGTAGAGCACTTGCCTAGCATATAGAAGTTTGATTCCCAGGAATAGGGAAAAGAGAAAAACTAAAAGGATTTTTACCGAATGAACTTGGACTCAAAGATAACTAAAATCAGCATTTATTTTTCAATTTTATTTTAACCTGATGGTTACCATATTACATATAGGATTTTACAAACTTTTTTTCTAAGGAGTTTTAATTTTTAATTTGAGATACTGTGTTTCTTACACAAATACTTTTTTTTTTGGTAGTACTGGGTTTTTTTTGGTTTTTTTGTTTTTTGGCAGTACTGGGGTTTGAACTTGGGGCCTCATGCTTGCTAGGCAGATGCTCTACCCCCAACCCCACAAGTATAATTTCTAAGTTTCTAGGGTCTTTTGGTTTTCACGTTTTTTGTAGGAAAAGGCATCTCTAAAAGTGAATAAGTCAGTATCTTCTCATTCATGGTGGTGACAGCTTATGCCTCATCCGTGCATACTCATTCTCTGCCATCTGCACTGTGGAGGAGGGCACTTGTGTACACCCATTTGTTGCCAACTCAGTCTGCTTTTCTCCATGTCTCCTAGGTGTCAGAATTGGGAAGGTGGCATTGGTGGTGTGCCGGGGATGGAAGCTCATGGTGGCTACACATTCTGTGGCCTGGCCGCACTGGTCATCCTCAAGAAGGAACGCTTCTTGAACCTGAAGAGCTTGTTAGTAAGTATCTACTAGTCATTATCCCTTCAGGCCCGGTTCCTGGGGATAGGATCTGAGACACCTGTCAACTTTTGGCTATAGGGAAGGGCTCATGGAGTTCTAGTCTTGAGCTCACAAACTTCAAGTCCTGGGATAAGCTTCAGATGTGGTTGTTGGAGCTCTCAGCACAGTTTTGAGACAGCTGAAGGTGCTAAAAAACTAGCTGGGTGCTGGTTGCTCATGCCTGTAATCCTAGCTACTTAGGAGGCTGAGATCCAGAGGATTGCAGTTCGAGGCAGCCCAGGCAAATAGTTTGCAAGACTCCATCTCCAAAATAACCAGAGCAAAATGGACTGGAGGTGTGGCTCAAGTGGTAGAGCACTTGCTTTGTGAGTACCTGCTTTGCAAGCTTGAAGCCCTGAGTTGAAACCCCAGTCCTACCAAAAAACAACAGAAGCCAGCAACCAGTGTTAGTCTGAGCTTCCTTCTTCCCATCTTTCTCTCTGCCTGCTACAAACTTACTGCATAGTATGCTAAGCCCACTCAAGTCGCTTTGAGTCCTACAGACATCTGGAATGATTCTGAGTACCTTCCTCATACTTCCAGGAAAAGTAACTTTGATCTCTCAGGATTAGAAGTTACTATGTGTCTTAGAAAGAATCTCCTAAGAGAAAAAGTTATGAGAAGAGCTTTGAAGCATTTTGAAGTCAAGCTTTTATTGCCTATATGACTGTTCAGTACCTATATTCAAGTAAGTTCTCCAGGCAGAACTTGGTAATTGCATTGATGAGGTACAAGCATTTATGTCTGGGCATCAAGGTCTGGCCAAAATTCAGAATGAATTCAGAAAGCAGTCAACTTTGAGAAGGTCTAGGGCACAAACATAAGCACACACAGTCACCAAGGAGAAGGTATTTCTTCCCTATCTTTGGGGGAGCATGTACTCTCTTGACCATGATCTCCAAGCAAAGTAGCTAAAACTGACATTGAGCTCTGTGTACAGGTACCAGGCTCCCATTGTGGACCTGTCATGAGCTTCCTGGAGAGTTTTTGTCATGCACTGCACAGGTATATCCAGCAGCATCCCCCATCCTCAGGAAGCCTGCCATCATACTCTTTTTGAAAGTTCTTAAAGGTTGAAGCCAAAATGACCAACTTTGTGCACTGGACACAGTTTATGAAACATTTCAAAATCTGGTCACAAACAAGGGATGAAACAAAGTCCCATGTCTTAGGTAGAAGTAAAGAATATAATTAGTAAATGCCTAACTATAAAATAACAGTATTCTAGATTTGATCCTTGCCACTATTACTAACTAGTCAAGTGACCTTGGGCAAATTATCTGTTTTAGTTTAATTTTCTTCTTTCCTTCTAAAAGGTAGAAATAACAATTCTTTGAGGGTTACAGAAGAGAAATATATAAACAGCTTGATACACAGTAGGTGCTCTGTAAATTTTAGCATTAATCTACTCCCTTCCTTCCATTTGCTTTGACAGAACCAGGACCTATATCTGAAGGATTTTATGACTTCATGTAGCAAAGGGGAGCAGAACCAGCCTTTGGGCATAGGCACAGGAAAAAGTTAGTCTGGCTTGAAAGCATTAGCAGTGGGGCAAGTCAAGATGAGGAACAGACTGCTTAGATAGTCCCTACTTTCTCTCCACTTGAGTAATGCTAAGCTCACTACCATTGTCTCTAAAGCATGGGTTCATTTAAGACCAACTGGGTGTTACTACTTGAACCTGCAATGCAGATTTTTGTCTTTCTCTTAAGAATTTGGGCTGTGATTCTCTATTAGTGAGTGAACAAGCGTATAATCTAAACTTTGCAACCATTAAGGGAGAACTGGGCCCCCTTCTCTAAAGAGTCCCTTGTATCTATTTTTGGATCTCAATCTAGAAAGACTCCAGGTGTTGGGGATTTACCCTATACTGGACCTTTTAGTTCAGTAATCTAGCAGTGTGGTCCAGGGCTGGTGGCTAGAACTTCCTCAAAGGATGGGGCAGGAAATGAATGTCATGTCTGCTCAGCCAGTTGGTTCTGCTCATTTCTGTGAACCAAGCCCAAGGCTATCTGGATCTCAATAGCAGAGTGTTTGGAAAATTTAGAGATAAGCAAGGAGTGGTGATATCATATGTGGCCAGTGAGTGACAACAAGTGCCAAGTTTATAACTTTAGAGTAAAAGATTTTCTTGTATCAGCCAAGCAGGTTCCCCTGGGGAATGGGAGACTAGACTGGGCAGTCATCATTTGGTAATCAGGGCAAATGGCTTCTACCTTCAGCATGGTGGGGACATGTTAAGAAACCTGGTGTAAATGTCCTTCGATACCAGACAAAGGCAGGATCAGAGACCATGACCTATAGTGCCATGTTCCCTTTCTTCTCTTTTAATAAGCTTCCCTGAGTGGCAAATGATGAAAACAGAGCCACACCACTTTTGCTTAGCTTCCCTACCCAAGCTGTTTATTAAGAGATGTTCACAGGTCTCCTCACAAACCAATGTGGCCTCTTTATCCGCAGCATCAGCACTGATTTGGAATCAAGTAAAGGCATTGAGCAAAGATCATTCTGGTTACCTGGAAAGGGTCAGTTTACATGGCCATGGCTTTTGGGGGCGGGGCAGGGAAAAGAAGAAAGCCAGAGCCCCTGAACCCAAGGGCCAAGAAGCCATGTGTTGAGGAGCTTCCTTTAATAAACTGGCCCTTGGAGGTGCTGTCTTGTTGGATTTTGTGTCTTTTTGGCTTAACCTGCTTCTCCCATGGTCTCTTCCTCAGCAATGGGTGACAAGCCGGCAGATGCGGTTTGAAGGTGGATTTCAGGGCCGCTGCAACAAGCTGGTAGATGGCTGCTACTCCTTCTGGCAGGCGGGGCTCCTACCCCTGCTGCACCGTGCACTGCATGCTCAAGGTGAGCCCAGGTTGCCCTTAGCTTGGCTAGAGGTTCTCTCCACTAGTTATTAACCAAGTCAGGAGCCAGCACGTTTGTCTAGAAGGGCCAAAAGAAGCTCTGTCCACCCAAGATTTTGAAAGCTTGCTGTGGAGGACACTGCCCTGTGGGAGACATATGCTGTTGATCAGGATTTAGTTCCAGGAGTTTGAAGGTCACTCATCACTGCTTCACCCTGGCTGCAGTAGGATGAGCTCTTTTCATACTTCTGTGAGGGAGGCTAGTGCTGCTCTGTGTTATCTGAAGAGAACAGCCCACTCCTGCCCTGGGCCCCAGGGTGACTGTCACCTCAGCTGGGTGTAAAGCCACAGCTTCCATCACACAGCTGTGTTGGTCATATCAGAACTGAAAACCCACACTATACACGTGGTCACAGCACTGACAGGAAAGGCAGTTATATAAAGAGGCAGAGAACCAGAACATACAGAGAGAAGACCCACCACGTCTGGCTGACTGCATAGTTGTTACCATTAGCAGTATTTTATTTTTAATTCATTGAGCAATCGCTGGATGCCAGTGGCTCATGCCTGAAATCTTAGCTGATCAGGAGGCAGAGATCGGGAGGGTCACCAGCCCTAGGCAAGTAATTCTTGAGACCCTATCTCAAAAAAACCCAACCCAAAATAAGGGCTGGCAGAGTGCCTTAAGCAGTAAAAGCGCCTGCCTAACAAGTGTGAGGCCCTGAGTTCAAACACCAGTGCCACCAAAAAAAAAAAAAAAATTCATTGAGCAATCTGCAGTGTGAGTTTTTCCACCCATACCACTAGACTGGAGAAATCCACATTCTTTCTGTGGGGTCTCCAATGGGGATGCAAAATTAAAGTAGACAGTTAAAGGAACACTCCATCCTTTTTTCTTGGAACCTCAGGTTGCCTCCTGCTCCCTCTTGCTTATTTACTTTCCATGAGAACAGGGTGTCTCTGAGTACACTGATGGGAGAAAGAAGTGTGGCCACCTGCTGAGTGTTAATCTTTGTCTGCTGGGAGATCCCTTGTCCCAGAGGGAAAATTTCTTTGGACTCAATGAGTAATGAATTGCTCAAGTATAAAAAAGATTTTTTTTTTCCAGTATTGGGGCTTGAACTCAGGCCCTACCCCTTGAGCCACTCTACCAGCCCCTTTGGTGTTGGGTATTTTCGAAATAGAATCTCTTGAACTATTTGCTGGGGCTGGCTTCGAACCTCGATCCTTCTGATCTGCGCCTTCTGAGTAGCTAGGATAACAGGTGTGAACTATCTGTGCCCAGCTAAGAAGATTCTTTTCTTTTGCCATTCTCACACTTTCTGTTTTCTTTTTATTTAACTGTATTTTCTTAGCCCCATTCTTTAGTTGCTTAATTTCATTGGAGTCATTCAGCTGTGGCCACTCACTCCCTATCCCAGTGCCACTGAAATTAGGTCTCAGGGTATTAAGGTTCATACTTGCCCTGACTCTGGAGCCTGCAGTCTCTAGCTTGACCACTAGTAGGTCTGTCAAGAATTTCCCAGAGGCCAGTGCTCCCAAAAAAGAAATTACTTGGGGTTTGGTGATCTCTGTATTTGGAGGTGCTGAGGTCAGGCACCGGCAAAGCTGTCAGTCTTTTACAAACCTGCTCCTTACAGGGATGAGATGGAAACCAAGGAAATCAAGAGAGCAGTAACAGGGTACTTATCTGCCAGTCTCCAGGGGGCGCTGGCTGATGTCTCGTGTATTGAAACTCAGGTTTGGCGGTCTTAGTCACATTTCAGGTTAAGCTAGTAGAAAACACTGCCTGGGAATCTTGGTGCTTCCAGCTCATTTCACTGCCTGAGAGAAGGCCTGCATTAGGCCTGAGGCTCACCATCCTTAGAAACAGTGAATTTGTTGGACGTGAAACAGACTGGAATCTAGGCAGAAGGGATGTATTTTGAGTGGTAGGTAAAGTACTAAGTGTGGTGTGAAAAGGAGATGCACTGTAGAAACATTACCCTGTACTATGACCATAGTAGATCTCAAAGCAGTGTAATCTCATTTTTCGTGAAGAGTTGGCACATTAAAAATTAATAGAAAGGTCTGGGGATGTCACTCAGTTTTCTTTCTTTTTTGTTTGTATTTTTTTTTCCCTACAGTTGACATGTATTTCTTGAGTAAAGAGAAACAACAAAAAATATTTCACAAAAGAAATTCTATAAACAAAACAAGTTAGCAAGATGGAAAGAATATCTAACACCTGCTCCTACTAGGGATAGCCAAGACTTCCCAAGCACTCACTGTACACAAGGGCCTCACTGAGTACTTCAGGTACATTTTCTCATTTGATCCTCCAAAACGCCCTATAAAATGGATACTTTTGATATCCCCAGTTTCCCCAGAAGTGGAAACAAAGTTCATAAGGTTAAGTGACTTGCTTTACAAGACCTGACTACCACCAACAGTGGCTGGTATGTGGTGTCAATCCAGATTAGCTGGCATCAGAGCCTGGTCTGTCACACCACAGATGGCCACCCACTGGAACATCATTCAGCTCATTCACAGTTAAAGAAATGCAAATCAGAACCAGGGACCATTATTCCTTTTTATGATCAGCTTGGCAGAGATTCCGAAACTTAATACCCCATGTTGAGGAGAGTATGGGAAAACAAGCATTTTTATACTGTTAGTGGCCATGTACATAGTTGTGTCAAATTTTGAGGGCAGTTTGAGTCCTCTGTTTAACTTACAAGGACACATGGCCTTTGAACCCAGCTAGTGCACGGTCAGGCATTCACTTGCAGAGATAATAGTGAAAGATATGCATTGAACTGGAGTTTTAATAGCAAACCTAAAGCGCCTATCAAAGGGTAACAGTAAATAAATGATGTTCTCTCTGAACAGTAGCTGTATGCAATGGCTTCATGTATTGGCTGATATGGACAGTTCTCCAGGATCCAGTATCAAGGGTGAAAGGCCTGCCCAGAGCAGTCATGTGCTTGCAGGCTGGAATATACCCACCTTTTCCTGGCAGCAAACACAAACTCTAACAATGAGTACCATTGGGAGGAGGGTTGATTACTTTATAACTTCTACATCCTCTGTACTTTAAATAAATAAAAAAAAAAAAAAGCATTTACGTAAGTAAGCAAATACCCTTTTAAATTTGTTTCTTTTTATTTTTAGTACTGGGGAATTAAACCCAGAGCCTCCCACATGTTAAGCTCATGTACTACCACTGAGCTCCACCCAGCCTCCTGTAACTGGGGTGTAGCTCAGTGGCAGAGCATTTGCCTAACATGCTTGAGGCCATGAGTTTGATCTCCATCACTGGGAAAAAAAAAAAAAAAAAGTAGTGATCATATTGCTATCTAAAAAGAAAAAGACTCAACACAGTGCAGCACAGATAGCTAGGCTGTTCCCTGGCTCAGCAAGTGACTACCAGTAACTCCATGCCGATGACTGCCTTTCACCTGTACAAGAATTACATGGGCTGGTAGAGTGGCTCAAGTGGTAGAGCACCTGCCAAGCAAGCTTGAGGCCCTGAGTTCAAACCCCAATACTGCCAAAAAGAAAAAGTTGATTCCCTTAACTGAATAATTCTCCCCTAGCCATTGTATTTGAATAAAATAATCTGGTGCCCAGAGACTATTCACAAAGATATATAGTACAGCATTTCTTATGATTGCAAGGAACTAGGAGCAACATGGAAAGTAAGTAAAAGAAGTCCCATCATTATGTATGCACTGTATCTTGGATGAAGTTGGGCTGTGTTCATGAGTGGGGAAAAGAAGTTTCAGGGTGTAGCTCAGTGGTAGCAAGCATGAGGCCTTGGGTTCAAACCCCAGTGCTGCCAAAAAAAAATTGTTATTTTCTGTTTGAAATATTTCACAATTAAACATTTTGCTTGTATATTCTATGTACTGTATTTACTTTAACCTTTTATAATGTTTACCTAGAAATTTATATACCCATATCTGTGAGAGATTTGGCCCCATTCCCTTTCTGATGAAGCTACCTTGCATATCCACTTAACAAGATGTCTGTTCAGAATGGCGATTCTGAAAAATATGTAGCAGGATAGAAAGTCATGCCTATAGTGTTAAATGAAAAGCATAAGATACAAAATTATAATAATTGTAACTATAGGAAATGCACATTTTATATGTGTGGTTTTTTTTTAAATCCCTTTCTGCACATATCTGTGTGATATCAAGTCACCCCCACTTGGTAACTGTATGGCCCACAGAATTCTCTGACTGCACTGGCTGAACTTGAGAGTGAAGGAATGCAGGGTCTGGGAACATAGCTTAGCTGGAGGGCTTACCTAGCATTTGCAAGGCACTTGGTTCCATCTCTCAGCAAAGAAAAAAAATTCTCAGTTGCTTATTCTAGTTTTATTCCCAGGATGGCAGATTTCTGTGTGGGCTATCATATATGATACAGGAAGTTAAGTTTCCTTTTAAGAAAAAATTTTGAGCCAAGAGCAACGTTGGGGAATTCCCTTTGGAAGTAGATTTCACTCAGGCTTAAAAAGTGGAAGAGACAATTTGTTGCTACCTGCTAGTAGTTCCCTTAGCTGCCTAGAGTCTAGCTAACAAATTTCAGAGACGTGCTAGAGGAAATGCCTTTAGGAACCCAGAGTAAAAAGTGATGGAACACTGGGTGTCATGGCACACACCTGCAATCTCAGCACTCAGAGACTGAGGCAACAGGAGGAGCAAGAGTTTGAGGCCAGTCTGAGTTATGGAGCAAGTTCTAGGCCAGCCTGGGCTCATAGCTGTTGCAAAAACAAAACAAAACAAAACAGAAAGAGTGGTGGCCCACCTCAGGATCAGTAAGTGGGCCAGCCTGGAAAGGTAAGCTGAACGGCTGGATCACTGCTACCAGAGCTGTCATCCAAGTTAACAGGCAGGTACATTTCAGTGCAAGTGAAACTGCCCATTAAGGTTCAGGAGAAGGGACATGTGAAGATACCAGGTGTACAAAGACTGAGTGGAAGAAGAGGGACCCCTGACTGTTCCCACTGAGTAACAAAATACAAGTAATTGCTAATACATGGCTGGACCCCTGCCAGGCCTTACGGACTTTGCCTTTCACCAGGTGACCCTGCCCTCAGCATGAGCCACTGGATGTTCCATCAGCAGGCCCTGCAGGAGTACATTCTCATGTGCTGCCAGTGCCCTGCCGGGGGACTTCTGGACAAGCCTGGCAAGTGAGTGCCTTTTCTTGGGAGGGAGGGATGACAAGGAATGAGGGAAATGTACGCTCCAGGCCTCTTCCAAGCCAGGCCTTTAAAGGCATCCCTTTCTGTCTGGCTGCTTAGTGCACTACTGTGTGGAAGTGTCCCCTTCACATGCCATTGATCCTGACCTCCATCCGCCCATCTTGTCCCTTAGCTCCTCCCTCAGAGAGGGGAATGATTGCTGGGGTGGTAAATCACCCTCCCTTTCTTTTTGTTAAACCAAACTTACTTAAATAGAACAGGATATGGACTAGAGGTATATCCCAGTGGCAGAGCTCTTGCCTAGTATGCCTGAGGCTCTGGGTTCCATCCCCAGCACTGCAAAACAACAAAATAGAACAGGATTCTAAAAGCTGTGAGTATAAAACAGAAATTGTTACATGACGACTATTACAAAGTAGATTAAATGACTAAATTCAAATCTAAGTGGTCTATGTGCTTTAATAAAGGAAAGAAGAAATTAAATACATACTGTTCCCTGTTAACACTCCAGCTACACACACACACACACACACACACACACACACACACAGCACCACTGCTAGCAATTTATCAGGTAAATGTGGTTGATTGCTAGAGACATTTTGCTAGAGAAATGAATAAATTTAGCACTAGTACTACTCTTGGAAAGCCTTTTCCAGAAACAGCTGGAAAGACTAAATTAGTTTGCATGACTGGGGATGTAGCTCAGTGGTAGTGTGCTTGCCTAGCATGCAGGAGACCCTGGGTTCTCATCACCAGCAAGATCCAGTTCTATTATTGGGCATAGCTGGAGGACGGGGCTTTTGAAGCCAGTTGTAAGAAAAGCCCCACTCCTTTAGCCCTGTGGAGGACAAGCGCAGGGCATGAAATTGCACTGGGGGCCTCTGGACTCATGTGGTGGTGGTTTGGGTACTTGGTGTAGACAGAGCTGCCTATCTTTGCAGGTCGCGTGACTTCTACCACACCTGCTACTGCCTGAGTGGCTTATCCATTGCCCAGCACTTTGGCAGCGGAGCCATGTTGCATGATGTGGTCCTAGGTGTGCCCGAAAATGCTCTGGTAAGGCAAGATGGGGGCTTAACACTCCTTCTCCGCAGGGCCCCCTGGGATGGGGGCTGAAGAGAGAGAGCAGAGCAACCACTCTTGCCCTGAAAAACTGCTATGGTCCCTGCATGACCAGGATGAGAATTTTGCAGTCCCTAACCTCTGCCCCCTTTGGAACCCATTTGTGAGGATGTGGCCTTGGAGGAAATGGCCTCTGAGCAAAACTCAGGGTTCCAGTGGTGATCTGATCGAGGTGTTATACCTTTGTTCTAGAGCTGGGGCCCAGATCAGCAGTTACCAGTAGTTTCCTCTCTGAGGAAACAGTTGTTTTACTGGAGCCTGTGAACTCACAGCATCTATAGGGCATGGCACTCACTGTATGGCTGACTCCATCTCTCCTGGGGCTCTCAGTTTAGGTGGCATTTATAGAAAATAAGATTACCCAGAATGCTCTGCTGTGAAGCCTCCTTTTTTCCTTCATAGCACTCATCACAACTCGCTGTGTGTTTGTTTAATGGGAGTTTGCTTCCCTCATAGCTAGTCAGCCCGAGTGGGGATGTAGCTCAGTAAGGGAAGGCTTGCCTAGCACATGCAAGCAAGCGATACATCTTTGTATCTCTGATAATTCCTTACACTAAGTTCTCCAAAGTGCATTTCAGCAGACAAAGGATACGTGTGTTTCCAAGGACCATCAGGTGATGACTGGCATCTGTTCTTCTCTTTACAGCAGCCCACGCACCCTGTGTACAATATTGGACCAGACAAGGTCATCCAGGCCACCACACACTTCCTGCAGAAGCCTGTCCCAGGCTTTGAGGAGCATGAGGATGAGACAGAGCCTGCCAGCGACTAGAGGACCTACGTCCCCAAGCTCACCCACCTCCCCAGTCAGACAAGGTTTCTGCGTTTTGGTCCCTAGTTCATTCTGTGCTACACAAGCCTTAGCCACCATGGAGCTGTGGTTCTCTTTGTCCTTTCTTGTCAAACAAAACAAAACCAGTGGCTCTGGGTTTGGAGTACACAGTGGCGTGGTTTTTTAAACTCTTCTCACACCTGTCAAGCCAAAACTCTGTCAGCCCATGTAGTGAGGTTGGGAACAGTGCATGCTGGGAGGAAGCAGCCCCTCCCCACCCCCACCTCCAGCTTGGACAGTTGTACTGAGATGCGGGTGCCTGAATATCCCAGGATCCACAGCCACTGCTGCTACTCCCACCAGCATGCCACCATTAAGTTACCAGATGGGTGCCCTTTCACCGGTGGAGATCAATCAGCTCCATGCCAAGTTGGGGCTTTGGGCCTCACGCAAGTGAATTTCCTGGAAAAGACCATGTTAGGGCTGCTCTAAGAGGTGCTTCTGCCTCTTGCCTCCCACTCTAGTCATTTTCAAGGGACAGGGGCTAGGGTAGAAAGGCCCCCCGCCTTGAATTGAGTAAGAATTCCTTACCCCCAACACTGGAAAACTGAGCCACACATCTTTCCAAGACCATGCTTGGTGCACAGGCTGCACCTTAAGTGTGGTGACGTAAACCTGGGTAACCAATTATGAGTGGAAAACAAACCTCTAGCTCAACTCTGGGCCAGAGGAAGCAACCCCCCGTAGCCAGCCCCTGCCCCTTCCCATCATGTACCATGAAAATTCCTGAAGCCTGCAGCCCGAGATCCTTCTGTGTTTCCGTTTTTCTCCCACCAGACTCCCAGACCATCCCAGACCATCCTCCAAGACCGTGTTGTCTTTCCTCCGTGGTAACACTTCTAAGTCTTTCACCTTAGTTTATGACCCAGGATTTGGCCCCGTCCTGCCCACTCTAGGCTCACAGAATTAAAATCAAGTGCTAGACAGGTGAGCTGCTGTGGAGGCATAGCCTCGGAAACCAGTGAGGGCAGGATGAGTGCTGTCTGTGTGTGAGGCCTGTCACTGCCTCTGCTGCCCCTTCCATTGAGCCCTCTCATGGTCAGTGGAGTACTGAGGTCGGTTATCTGTCTACTGCTGTGGTTACAGCAAGCTCATGTCACTGCCCTGGCCTTTGTGTGAGCAGCAGTGGGCTGCAGGCAGACCAGAACTGGGAGATGCAGCCTGAGGTTCTTCTCAAAAACACTGGCAATTTGTTGCCTCTAATTCCCTATTGCTTTGGCGTACTGGGCTATGTATTACCTCCTTGAAGGAATAAAGGAATAACATTTTCTATGATGTCTCTTATTTGTGATCAGTAGCAGAAAAGTCCTTTAGAATGCCCTCTGTTAGGAAGGTTTGAAAGTCGTTCGTGGGATCACCTGGTCTCCTGTGGGCTGCCCTCACGCGCCTTTGCCTCCAGCGAGGAGGCAGTGGGAGGAGATGTTTTGCTCTCAGCATTCTACGCTCTGAACTTCATCCATCTGCACCTGTCTCCAGCCTGTGAGTGTAACACCCTGCTCCTGAGCCCCAGAGCAGGCATTCTGCTGGGTGACGTGGGTGGGTGGGTGGATGTCCTGGCCAGAGGCAGGAGTTGGCACTCCGACAGGCTGGAATTCTGCTGTCACGTGGCTTACCCCTTGTTTGGGAGAAACCCTCTCCCAGGGAAGGTCAAGAAGCTGTGTTCTGTGACTTGCTCCTCAGGGGAGAGGAGAGGAAGTCGTGGGAGGTTGCCCACATTCACACAAATAGCCCAGATTTGCATCCTGAATGTCTTCCTACCCTGTGGTTATTTTTGCCCTAACAGAAGTTTGGGCTGCAAAATAACATTGAAATACATCCTTCCCATCACTGTAACCAAAGGCAAAAGGCTCAGGCCCTGGGTACCAGAAGCTCAGATAATTCGGGAGATTAATCGCAGTAGTGATTGGCACGGTTAAGAGACTTAAGGGAGTGCTTTTCCGAGCTGGCCTTGTATGGAGGAGAAGGGCAGGTAAAGTCGGCTAGGGAGAGAAGAGAGAACCATATCCTGGTATTGTTATCTCAGGGTTTGCAATGACATCTCCACCAGACCCTCTTTTGGAGGGCTTCCTGACTCAGCCTTCAAGGCTGGTCATGGGAGATGCATTCTGAGATTCATCATGTGCATCCTTGCATGGAAGACACATAGCATTCAATCCCAATAACTATGTCCCCGTCAAAACCACCACAGATCTGTGTCTACCTGGGGCCCACTTTACCCCCTGCTCTGCTCCCTCCACCCATGCCCACCTTGAGTGTCCTAGAAGTTGAAAATCATGCTTTGGCCTCCTGGATAAGCCAAAGAGGACATGCCTGATGACTGCCTAACTGTCCTCTCTCCATGACATCATTTCTGAGCTGGAAACTGCAGGTTAGATTCTGGCCAATAGCTCTGTGAGGATACAACACAAAACCAAAGTGAAAAATGACTGCCATCCTCCCCGCCCTTCACTCACTGCTGTTCTTATAGTAAGAACCCTTTCCTCGCCTGCTTCTACCCATGGAGGCTCAGTGTTGGGTCACCCCGCTTCCCCCATCACACAGCGAGTCTTCTCTACTGAAAGAGAACCCAGGGATCAGCGCTGCCAAAGCCATTTTGAGGGCAATGCAGTATGATCCTTTGTGAAGCCATGTCTCATACGAGATCTCACGTGAAAGCAGAGGCCATGATGCGTGCTTAAATACCAGTTCCACAACAGGCCTGCTAAGGGCTAGCATCAGATCTTGCTGTGTTGCTCCTGGTGATTTAACATAGCATAGATGAAGTTCAGAAAACCCTGAGAGGGTGAATGATCACATGCTCCGTAAGCTGTTTCACCAAGTTTTTGTTTCTTGTTTTTTCCCCCAGTAATGGAGTTTGAACTCAGGGCCAGCACCTTGAGCCACTACACCAGCCTTTTCTTTTCTTTTCTTTTCTTTTTTAATTTTAGCAAGGATTTATTTTAGTGTAACAGGATAAAGTATAGACAAGGGGTGGAGGGTAGAAAAAGAGAGAGAAACATTTCCTGCTCTCATGCAGGAAATGGGAGCAAAGACTCCCAGCCTTTTCTTGTGATGGGTTTTTTTGAGATAGAGTCTCAAGTTCCAGGGCTGGCTTGGAACCACAATCCTCCTGATCTCTGCCCCCTGAGTAGCTAGGATTATAGTTGTGAGCCACAGGTGCCTGGTTACAGATATTAATTGTATGTACTGTACTTCTGGCAGAAGCTTGATAGCCAGGAATTTTATTTTATGTATGTATGTATCTATCTATTTATTTTGCTGTACTGGGGTTTGAACTCAGGGCTTCCACCTTGAGCCACTCCAGCAGCCCTATTTTGTGATGGGTATTTTTGAGATAGGATCTCAAGAACTCTGCCCGGGCTGGCTTTGAACTGCAAGTCTCCTGATCTCTGCCTCCTGAGTAGCTAGGATTACAGGTGTGAGCCACTGGTGCCCAGCAGCCAGGAATTTTCAATGGAGCCATCTGGGGTCAGGGGTGTTGCTTAGTGTACCTGCCTAGAATATGTGAGGCCCTTGGTTCTATCCCTAGCCCTACAAAGAAAAAAAAAAAAAGCACAACACTGCTTTGATGGCCCCAGGTATGCTATGGTGGTAGCTAGAGGCGAAATCCATTGACTTTAGATGTCAGATGTGCAGATAACAATGCTGACATTCCATTATGAAAATTGAAGAGCTTATCTAAATCTTCCTCCCAGCATGTTTATATTGGTTCCACCTCCTTGAAGGAGTGGGGCACTGGCTGATCCAGCAAGCACTCATCACCAGCTTTAGCATCTGGCCTCAGAGGAAGGATGGAGGCCTGGGTGGGAAGTAGGTGTACAGACCCTCTGTGGCCTGCCTAGAAAGACAGGCCCTGCATAGACCATGTGTCAGTAAAGCCATAGGACATCTTTCATTCACCTCATTCTGGGCTAAGGTTGGGTTAGTGAAATTTGTTTTCCTAAGGGCCTATAATGTGGGCTATTCAGGGCTGCTTCTGTTTGAGGACACGGATTCCTGCGAGGAGGGGAGGATTTCCCAATATTACCCAATATTTTATTCTTTGACCATCTACACCAGGGGGCAGCATACTTTTTAGGGAAAAGGGCTAGATACTACAATTTTAGGTTTTGTGGGTTACATGACCTCTGTTGCAACTACTCAACTCTGTTCTGCCGTTGGACCACTGTACAAAACCATGTGAGTGTAGCTGTGTTCCAGTCATGCTGTATTTATTTCTTTATTTTATTTAGGTGGTACTGAAGTTTGAACTCAGGACTTCGTGTTCGCAAGGCAGGCAGTCTCCCGCTTGAGCTATGTCTCTAGCCCCAAAGCTATATTTATGAAAACAGGTGATGGGCCCTATTTCCACATGTGCTGTGGTATGCCTACCCCTGGTCTAAATGGAATCTTATCTATGATTCATTTAGCCTTCTTCCATAGCTTTCATGGCTAGGATGCTTTCCACGTAATACTAGAGTCAAACAACAAATGCACTTGGTCACTAAAGCTTGGGCAATGTTCTAGTCACCCACACTCACCATTCAGTGGCATTCGTTCCCTTGGATGAGGATGGAGAATAGTAAGATTTAAGACTGGTGAAATTGACAGAAAGTGGGTCCAACTAGCTTAAAGCAAAGAGGAAATAAGTGTGTTGGCTCCAAGACTGAAAGGTCAGGGATGAGGCTGGATAAATAAGCAACCTCAGAAGGCTTCTTCCCTCCCTCTAGGTCTCCATGTGGCCATGAAAGGACAGCAGCCAGACCATACACCCTTTTGGCATCAAGTTCGGCAGACAAGGCCACCTGGCACTATCTCGCCTTCCTTCTCAGTGAGGAACAGTGCATTTCACTGGCCTTGGGCCTATGTCTTGGGCACAGGCTTCTCCTACCAGAGGGAGAAGGGGCAATGGAGATCTGTCAGAAGCACACAATCTTAAGGATAGGGAAGGAACCAGGCACTGATGGCTCAAGCCTGTAATCCTAGCTACTCAGGAGGCAAAGTTCAGGAGGATCCTGGTTTGAAGCCAGCCCAGGCAAATAGTTCGTGAGACCCCCCATCTCGAAAAACCCCATCACAAAAAAGGGCTTGTGGAATGGCTCAAAGTGTAGGCCCTGAGTTCAAACCCCAGTATAGGGTGGGGGAGGTTGGGGAAGGAAGAAAACCCTAAATGCAAATTTGTGTTTAGCCAAAGGGGGCAATGGATAGGAGAGATAAATCACCTCTGCTCTCTACTACAGTGCATTAAGACCGAGACAGAGACCTCAAGAGGACACTGCTAGCATCCATTCTGCTCCTAGGCCTGTTATCTTCATCCATGTCTCCGCCTCAGTCACTTGTTTAGGGTTGGTAGTAACCAAGTGTCAGTTAGCCAGTATGGGTTGTCATGGTCCCAGGGATTGACTCAGAGCCAAGAACATGCCCTAAAATAGTCCAAAGAAAGAGAAGTCTTGCATAGCTGATGATAGGGAAAAGCAGGGACAATGGCATGTGTGGCCTGGGACTCCTAGAGCCATTTTCCTACCCAGGAGGAAGCCAGCCCGAGAAGTCAGTACACACAGACACTGAGAGACTGAGTGACAAACAAGCACACAACCCTGATGCCACAGCCCCTGAGGCTCAGGTACCTCTGATTTTCAGATATGTGAGCCAATTTGAGTTCAATCTATTATTATAGATGGTTCTTGACTTAAAACTTTCCAGTTTCACAGTGGCATAAAAGCAGTATGAATTCATTAGAATCCATACTGTTATGCTTGGGTTAGGTGTAGTAATGCATTTTTTTTGAGACAGGCTTTCATATAGCCCAGGCTGGCCTGGAACTCCTTATCCTCCTGCCTCAATCTACTAAGTGCTGGGATTATAGGTGTACCACCATGCCTGGCTCCTAAATGTATTTTTGCATTAACAGTATTTCTAAATTACAGAGACATGGCCCTATTGTAAATTGAGGTACCATCTATATGTGTAACTGAAAGCATCCTGACGTACCCAAAACACTATCCCATTAGCCCCAAGCCCACAAAGTTCCTTACTTGCTGCCTAAAAAACCCAGAGCACCCTAACCACACCTCACAGACAATTAACCCCTAAGCCAACCCATCTGATCTACTGTCTCTCCTCATTTATTCCTTGACTTAATCTCGAGAGTGGGTGAGGCAAGTATACGAGCTGCATTTTACAACTGGATTAACAGGTCAAAGATGTGAGTGAATCACCCAAGGTCTCCCTACTATAAAGTGGTGAAGTCCACCTGAGCCCAGGTCTGTTGCCCTAAGC